ATGGATTAGTAAATGGATGAATGGATTTGATAGGTGGATGGATGGCTAGGTGGATAGATGATAGATGGATTGGTAAATGGATGAATGGATAGGTGGTTGGATGGGTAGATGGATGAATGGATAGATAGTTGGATGGGTAGATGGATGGATGGATAGGTGGAAGGCTGGATGGACGAGTGGGTGGATAGATGATAGATGGATTGGTAAATGGATGGATAGATTGATGGGTGGGTGGATGGATATTTGGATGTGTGGATGGATAGGTGGATAGATGGTAGATGGATTGGTAAATAGATGGATGGATGGATGAATTGTTGGATGAATAGGTGGAAGGATGGATGGATAGATAGATGGTAGAAGGATGGATGGATGGATGGATAGGAGGCTATATGGATTGGTAAAAAGATGGATTGATGGATAACGGATGGATGGATAGGTGGATAGATGATAGATGAATTGGCAAATAGGTGGATAGGTGGGTGGATGGATGGATAGGTGGATAGATGATGGATGGATGGGCAGATGTATGATGGATAGGTGGATGGGTGGATAGATGGATTAGTAAATGGATGGATGGATAGGTGGATGGATGGATGGGTGGATAGATGATAGATGGATTGGTGGATGGATAGCTGGATGGATGGATGGATAGATAGGTGGATAAATGATAGATGGACTGGTAAATGGGTAGATAGATAGATAGATAGATAGATAGATAGATAGATAGATAGATAGGTCCCAATTCTCACTAATGCAATGATTTGAATAATAACAATAATAATAACAACAACAACAACAACAACAACAACAACAACAACAATAATAATAATAGCATTGTCATTATGAAAGATACGGGAACCCCCGGTGTTACAGTGGGTTAAACCCCTGTGTCGGCAGAACTGAAGACCAACAGGTCGCAGGTTCAAATCCGGGAAGAGCTCCCTCTATCAGCTCCAGCTCTTCATGTGTCTATCTAAAATCCTCCCTCCCTGGGTTGATTAGGGTTAGGCTGGGGTTTGTCGCCCTTTACCCAACTGGACCTAATAATAATAATAATAATAATAATAATAATAATAGGTCGACAGCAAGCTAGACTATTAATGGTGACACTTGTGACACTGATGGAGTACTTCCTCATTCTTTTGCATGCTGCTGGAAGGTTTTATGGCATCATAAATTAGTTAAATTACCCTCCCCGCATAAAGCGGTACCTCAATTTCCTACTTGACAGATGCAACTGCCTTTTGGGCTGCATAGGTCAACAGCAAGCTAGACAAGGATGATAAAACATCAAAACATCCGGGCGTCCCCTGGGCAACGTCCTTGCAGACGGACAATTCCCTCACACCAGAAGCGACTTGCAGTTTCTCGAGTCGCTCCTGACACACTGATTGGTTTTGTCACTTTCCTCTTTTGCAAGTTGGGGAAGACCACCTCCGAGCTCCTCCTGGAAGTGACCAGCGCCACCAGCCTGCAGATCTGCAAGGACATTATGGACACGCTCATTCTGGTAACGGGTCGTCTCTCCCTTCTCCCATTTCCATGTGGGGTTTTTTTTGGGCCAGCTGGTAAATCGGCTTGATAAGATCAAAAGGTTGCAAGTTCGAAGCCCCAGGTTGGCGTGAGCTGCCAACTGTCAGCCTAGCTCATTGTTTACCTAAGCAATTCGAAAACAGCTATAGCTGTGTTTAGAGATATTTGGTACCACTAAAAGCTGGATAATATAAATAAAGTGTTGTTGTTGTTGTTATTATTATTAATAATAATAATAATAATAATAATAATAATAATATTTATCACTTTCCCTTGAAATTGCAGAAAATGGCAGAGTTGAACAAATCCACTCTGGAGAACAAGGACGGCGAACCAGGTTCGGATCATGAATCTAACGATATCGCCAACCCCGGAAGCGTCTCCGCCAACTGCCTCCCTCTGGTGCTGGAGCAAGTCCGGGTGGTGGACATGGACGGGAACCTGAAGGTCATCTATCCTTCGAAGACCGACCTCAGCACAGTCTCCTCCCTCGTGACTGTCATCCATTGAGCGCCTTGGGCTTCCTCTGGTTGTGGGGCGTGGGTTGTTCTCCCGCTCTGGGGCAATCCTGAGGAGCCCGACTCCTGCCCGGACCTCCTGCCACTCGCTCCGCCTCTGTGACGCACCCAAGTGTGCGAGGCGGCTCAATGGAAGCACTCTTCTGGGATGAGGGGTGCATCTGCGTGGCAGAATTAACTCAGTTTGATACCACTTTAACTGCCATGGCTCATTGGAATCCAGGGATGGGCACAGCACTCTTTGGCAAAAGCGAAAGACCTCGTAAAACTACAACTCCCCTTACTAGGCCAGGGCAGGAAACGCGGTGTCAAACTGCATTCATTCAACCCTGTAGACGCACCCCTGCTTGGCTGGGACATTCCGGGGCTTCGGTCAGAGGAGAATGAAGATGGATGGGTGGATGGATGGATGGATGGATGGATGGATGGATGGATGGATGGATGGATGGATGGATGGATAGATGGATAGATAGGTGGATGGATGGATGGATGGGTGGATGGATGGATGGATGGATGGATGGATGGATGGATGGATGGATGGATGGATGGATGGATGGTTAGGTGGATGGATGGATGGATGGATGGATAGATAGGTGGATGGATGGATGGATGGATGGGTGGATGGATAGGTGGATACAAAGATGGATGGGTGGATAGATGGATTAGTAAATGGATAGGTGGATGGGTGGATAGATGATAGATGGATTGGTAAATGGATGGATGGGTGGGTAGATGGATGGATGTTTGGATGGATTGATAGGTGGAGTGGATGGATGGATGGATAGATGGATGGATGGATAGGTGGATGGATAGATGGATTAGTAAATGGATAGGTGGATGGGTGGATAGATGATAGATGGATTGGTAAATGGATGGATGGGTGGGTAGATGGATGGATGTTTGGATGGATGGATGAGTGGATGGATGGATGAGTGGATGGATGGATAGATGGATGGATGGATGGATGGATGGATGGATGGATAAGTGGATGGATGGATAGGTGGATGGATAGGTGGATGGATAGGTGGATGGATAGATGGATTAGTAAATGGATAGGTGGATGGGTGGATAGATGATAGATGGATTGGTAAATGGATGGATGGGTGGGTAGATGGATGGATGTTTGGATGGATTGATAGGTGGATGGATGGATGAGTGAATGGATGGATAGGTGGATGGATAGATGGATAGATAGATGGATTAGTAAATGGATAGGTGGATAGATAGATGGATTGGTAAATGGATGGATGGGTGGGTCGATGAATGGATGTTTGGATGGATTGATAGGTGGATGGATGGATGGATGGGTAGGTGAATAGATGATAGATGGATTGGTAGATGGATGGATGGGTAGATATTTGGATGGGTGGATAGGTGGATGGATGGATGGATGGATTAGTAAATGGATGAATGGATAGGTGGATGGATGGATGGGTAGATGGATGAATGAATGGATAGATGGTTGGATGGGTAGATGGATAGATAGATGGATGGATAGATGGATTAGTAAATGGATGAATGGATAGGTGGATGGATGGCTGGGTGGATCGATGATAGATGGATTGGTAAATGGATGGGTAGATGGATGGATGTTTGGATGGATTAATAGGTGGATGGATGATAGATGGATTGGTAAATGGATGGATGTTTGGATGGATTGATAGGTGGATGGATGGGTGGGTGGGTGGATAGGTGGATGGATATTTGGATGGATGGATGGATGAATGGATAGGTCAAAGGATGGATGGATAGGTGGATAGATGATAGATGGATTGGTAAAAAGATGGATTGATGGATAATTGATGCATGGATGATAGATGGGTAGATGGATGAATATGTGGAAGGATGGATGGATAGGTGAATAGATGATAGATGGATTGGTAAATGGATGGATGAATAAGTGGAAGGATGGGTGGATAGATGATAGATGAATTGGTAAAAAGACGGATTGATGGATAATGGATGCATAGATGATAGATGGATGGATGAATAAGTGGAAGTTTGGATGGATGGATAGGTGGATAGATGATAGATGGATTGGTAAATAGATGGATGGATGCATGGATGATATATGGATGGATGGATAGGTGTATGGATGGTTGAATAGGTGGATAGATAGATGGATTGGTAAATAGATGGATAGGTGGATGGATAGATAGATGAATAGGTAGATAGATGAATTAGTAAATGGATGGATGGATGGGTGGATAGATGATAGATGGATTGGTAAATGGATAGATAGATAGATAGATAGATAGATAGATAGATAGATAGATAGATGAGTCCCAATTCTCACAAAAGCAACGATTTGAATACAGTCCCCCAGGATGGAGGAAAGTCGCCCCCAAAACAACTTGAAAGTCAATTTACACCGGTTCTGGTTTTTTAAAAACCCCGATTGGTTTGCCAAGAAGAGCGGTGTGGCATCTGTGGGGGAAACTCTTCCGCCCTTCTTCCCTGTTGCATTTGACCAGCGTGTGGGGCTGGAGCCCAAAAGGACCATCAATTCCGCTTGTTCCCCTCTCACCTGGAAGGCTTCTTCCAAGAACGGATCAATCACGTGGCATTTGAGCAAATAAAGCAGGAAATCCACCCCTTCGGCCCTTTATTTCATTCTGAGTGAGCTCCCGACCATTCGTCTAGCTGGCTGTCAACCTTTGCAGCTCGAAGGACAGTCGCATCTGTCAAGTAGGAAATTTAGGTACCGCTATATGCGGGGAAGCTAATTTAACTAATTTACGACGTCATAAAACTCTCCAGCAGCGTGCAAAAGAATGAGGAAGTACTTAATTGGTGTCACAATTGGACGGTGAAGCAACAGCTTCCCCGGTGGCCGGAATTCAAAGCATACCCTCATGAAACTGGAAAGTTAAATAGGCTCTGTATGCCTGTCTATATATGTTGTGTATCTATGGCATTGTATGTTTGCTGTGTATATGTGCGAGGTGAGAAGGGCGGAATACAAACACTGTCAATAAATAAATATAAACACTGTCAATAAATAAAATTAGCCTCCCCGCATAAAGCGGTACCTAAATTTCCTACTTAACAGATACAACTGTTTTTCAGGCTGCATAGGTCAACAGCAAGCTAGATTATTAATGGTCGGGAGCTCACTCCGACCCAGACTGGCTTCAAACTCATGACCTCTCTGTCAGTAGTGATTTAACTAACTGATAGTCTATTTGTGTGCCAAGTTTGTTCTTGATCTGTCATTGGTGTGGATCACAGTGGTCTCTGCAAGTAAGTGAAGGTACTACAAGTCCCATCATCCATGATCAGTCCCCCTTCTGCAGATCCCATCGCCTGTGGTCCATCCTGCCCCAAATTGCACCAAGTTGTAAAGTGGGGTATTTTGCCTCTGTGTGTCAAGTTTGGTCCTGATCCGTCATTGATGTGGGTCACGGTGCTCTAAGGAAGTGAGTTAAAGTACTGCAAGTCCCATCATCCATGGTCCATGCTTCCTCAAACTGCACCAGGATGGCGAGTGGGTCATGGGGGCTCTTGTGTGCCAAGTGTGGTCCTGATTTGTCATTATCGGGGGGCACAGTGGTGTGTGGGTGCCAAAGTGTTTGAAAGTACTGCAGATCCCATCATCCGTGGTCCATCCTCCCCCAAAACTGGTCTCGTAAATTAGTTAAATTAGCCTCCCCACATAAAGTGGTACTTTAATTTCCTACTTGACAGATGCAACTGTCTTTTGGGCTGCATAGGTCAACAGCAAGCTAGACTATTAATGGTCCACTTCTGACACTGATGGAGTACTTCCTCATTCTTTTGCACATTGCTGGAGAGTTTTATGGCATCGTAAATTAGTTAAATTAGCCTCCTCTGCATAAAGCGGCACCTCAATTTCCTACTTGACAGATGCAACTATCTTTCGGGCTGCATAGGTCGACAACAAGCTAGTCTATTAATGGTCCACTTCTGACACGGATGGAGTACTTCCTCATTCTTTTGCACGTTGCTGGAGAGTTTTATGGCATCGTAAATTTGTTAAATTACCCTCCTCACATAAAGCGGTACCTCAATTTCCTACTTGACAGATTTATTTATTTACTTTGCTTATATACCGCTGTATCTCAAGCCCGAAGGCGACTCACAGCGGTTCAGATGCAACTGTCTTTCTGGCTACATAGGTCGACAGCAAGCTAGACTATTAATGGTCCCCTTGTGACATTGATGGAGTACTTCCTCATTCTTTTGCATGCTGCTGGAAGGTTTTATGATGTAAATTAGTTGAATTAGCCTCCCCGCATAAAGCGGTGCCTCAATTTCCTACTTGACAGATGCAACTGCCTTTCTGGCTACATAGGTCGACAGCAAGCTAGACTATTAATGGTCCCCTTGTGACACTGATGGAGTACTTCCTCATTCTTTTGCACGTTGCTGGAAGGTTTTATGACATCGTAAATTCGTTAAATTAGCCTCCCCGCATAAAGCGGTACCTCAGTTTCCTACGTGACAGATGCAACTGCCTTTTGGGCTGCATAGGTCAATAGCAAGGTAGACTATTAATGGTCCACTTCTGACACTGATGGAGTACTTCCTCATTCTTTTGCATGTTGCTGGAGAGTTTTATGGCATCGTAAATTAGTTAAATTAGCCTTTCTGCATAAAGCGGTACCTCAATTTCCTACTTGACTGATGCAACTGCCTTTCGAGCTGCATAGGTCAATAGCAAACTAGACCATTAATGTACTTCCTGATTCTTGTGCACATTGCTGGGTCCAGATATTTACAGATATTTACAACTACAACAATGTTTGTTATTGCACATTATTAACAACTGGTATAGCAATTGAAGAGCATGGAGGGAACTCCCCTGGGGCGGGTGGGTCTACGGGTGAGGGGGCTGCTATAGAGGTGGTGACAGGTAGAGGAAGATACGGGAAAGGGAGAACGAATCACTCATTTCGGCCCAAAATTTACAACAATAATCTGGCAAACTCAAAACATACCAAGGATCCGAGACAAAAGCAAATTCGGCTCAAAATTTACGATAGAACATTGGCAATTCCAAAAATTATTCATACCACAACCCAACAAACAATTCGGCCCGAAAATAACAAGAATGTATTGGCAATTCCAAAAAGCTCTCCCGACAAGGTACAGCTGAGATGCCAGGATGGTGGCCCCTCTGGGTTAAGGGTGGTGCTGTTCAATGCCAGACTTCCATCATTCGAGATCTAATCCAGGAAGAACAAGCCGACCTGGCGTGTATAACGGAGACCTGGTTGGACGAGGGGGCATAGTTGGGTGAATCTC